GCTTTTTTAGATGTTGTTTGGCAAACTCTAATCTGGCCTTCCTGTTTTTGAGGCTCACCAATGGTTTACATCTTGTGGTGAACCCTCTGTATTCACTCTGGTGAAGTCTTCTCTTGATTGTTGACTTTGACACACATACACCTACCTCCTGAAGAGTGTTCTTGATCTGGCCAACTGTTGTGAAGGGTGTTTTCTTCATCAGGGAAAGAATTCTTCAGTCATCCACCACAGTTGTTTTCCGTGGTCTTCCGGGTCTTTTGGTGTTGCTGAGCTCACCGGTGCGTTCTTTCTTTTTAAGGATGTTCCAAACAGTTGATTTGGCCACACCTAATGTTTTTGCTATCTCTCTGATGGGTTTGTTTTGTTTTTTTCAGCCTAATGATGGCTTGCTTCACTGATAGTGACAGCTCTTTGGATCTCATATTGAGTTGACAGCAACAGATTCCAAATGCAAATAGCACACTTGAAATGAACTCTGGACCTTTTATCTGCTCCTTGTAAATGGGATAATGAGGGAATAACACATACCTGGCCATGGAACAGCTGAACAGCAAATTGTCCCATTACTTTTGGTCCCTTAAAAAGTGGAAGGCACATATACAAACTGTTGTAATTCCTACACCATTCACCTGATTTGGATGTAAATACCCTCAAATTAAAGCTGAAAGTCTAAAGTTAAAGCACATCTTCATTTCATTTCAAATCCATTGTGGTGGTGTATAGAGCCAAAAAGTTTAGAATTGTGTCGATGTCCAAATATTTATGGACCTGACTGTATATATAAAATAACTACTATTTATGCTTTTCCAGCATAACTAAATATAGGAGAGAGCTTGTGTTGAAGGTAGAATAGGGTTGTGAAAACTATATATTTTAGTCAATTTCAAAGGCAGATAAGTGTTTGTTTACCCAGAGAAATGCTGGTTGTAGACCACATTTTGACAAGGAACCCATGAAAATGTGTAGCAGCACTCAACATCATCATCATATAATACAACTCTGTGTTGAAACAGTTTAGTGGTATTTTCTCCAATAAGCCTAAATATAACTCTGTATTAACTATTTAAATAGCATATTTAAGGTACTTTGCAAAACTGAGGATTTATGGAAAGTTTTCAGTTAACGGTGACACCGAATACTTCCTAAGGAGAAAAACAAAAAGGCTCAGCACTAAGTAACCAAACCAGGACGGTAGTAGATAAGGCAGCAACCCAGGGTAAGGGGTCCCTCAAAAACCCCTTAGGGGTAGTCACAAAAGATGACTAGTACAAATATATGGGTAGCAATAAGTACAGAACACTTCCTGTAGACTGGATTTCTTTATATATTTTTTAGAAGGTAATTTCCAGAGGAGCTGGCATTTATAGTGGGAGAGATGCAGATATACATTATAATATATCAAGATCTAAGACCGGTATTAAATTGTATATTGCTTAATGCATCGACAATAAAAATGTTAATCCTGACCCGGATTACTCAAAAGTCTTGATGCTTCTTTGGCATGTTTCTAGACGCAATAATGGGAGGGGGATTTTTATTTTAGATCTCTGAGGTTTACATGTATCAATAGTATCCTAAAATCAGCATACATGTAGACCACAATGCAGTGCAAGAAAGGCGTGCCGCTGTGATTCTCTGATGTCATAGAAACTCTAGAAAGTCGTATTACCTATCAGAATTCTGTAGGTCTTCCCAATGGCATATCAGATTGGGCCTGTCCTTCAACATTCCAAGAAACATCTAACAGCAATTCAGAGGAATGTGAAAGTAAATAGTGGAGCTATGATGCCCCTTTGAGTTCCACAATAGACTTGTCTTTGAGTTGTGTAGATAGCTGTCCCATTCTGAGTCTCAATTGAGATATTAAAATGTCTATAATAATATTACAGTAAATATAAATATTAACCTGCTGCTGATCTTTGCATTGATTAGGTGAACCAGATGTCTGCCTTGATTGCCTTTTTTACTATGCAGAAGAGTATGAAGTATAAAACATGAATTTTATTATTTTTATCCCATGTGCCAGTGACTTTAGGCACTGCGGAAGCACTGAAATGCCCTGCTGAATAATAATCAAGTTGCGCCCCCTGGTGAATTCATTGCAAGGTAGTAGGGCTGCATAAATCTTATTTACGACTATGTGAAAAAAAAAAGGGATTTAGTATGGGCAACTGAGAAGCTTCTTGCCTTGAATTCCATTTAGTATAGGACTGTTTGCAGCCTTTGCAAGCCCTCCCTTCTTTCCCCATGTGTTGGGGAATACGCCAATGGAGCTGCGAGCACTTCCGTGCCATTACAGCTTTCCTTTGCTTCTCACTGAGCTGTAAAGAGTGCGCTCTGTGGGCTAAAATAAAGCTGCATACGTATCCTTATGGTGGGCATTAAAAGAATTGAGGTATTTTTCAGAATACAGGCTAGTAAAAATGCATCCAGAATCTAAACATTGTTGCTATATTGGGGCTAACTTCCACATACATTAATACTATTAACTGGCTAGAAACAGGCACCTACATTTGAAAAGGCATTGCAACCTTTAAGTATGCCATGATGTAAGTAAGGAGTACATTCTAACTTCTCCTCCCTGGCTGCTTTTCTTCAGCACTGTAAAAATTGAGCCATGCAGGCTCCTGTACAATATGTGAGAACGTGATATCATTAATTCTTTATAGTCCCTCTACATGAGGCATTAAAAACCCCAGTGGAGGAATTTGTCTCACCGTAGGTGAAGACCAATGCATGTATAGATGTTTAGAAAAGTGTTTATTGATTTATTTTTGACATACAGTGCAATTTAAAACAAAGAAAACTGTTTATATGCATGTATTTTTTGTGTGAAATGGATAAGGACCTCAAGTGACCACGGAATATCTGATTCAGAAAGGTGATTGCTATATCAGTAGGACATTCCATGCTGACATAGACTGTTTAGAACTAGATCGTGATGACATTGGTCTTAACCGGTTAATAATATATACAGCCATGCTTGACATTTTGACCTCTTCTTTGATTAAGCAATTGTGCAATGAATTATAATACTGTGAATGTAGTAAATCAACAAATAAGGGGCAATAGGATCTGAGAATATAAAAGGGGGAGTTCTAACCTCAAAGCAATTATCTGCCTCAGGTTTAATAAATTATTACAGGCAGCAAATCTGACCATTCATGGCTCACTGGATATTCAGGGATTACACTAGCTCATAACCAATTATTCATGTTGCAAATTTAAAAGGGACCAAATTCAGAATGTGATGCTAACACTAAGTGTAACAGGTTTTGTTTTGGTGCTGGCTGGTAATTTTTTTTACCATGTTTGAAACGATCAAGAGGTGATTTTAAAATGGTGGCTGTGCATATATAGTATAGAGCAGGGGTAGGCAACCTTTTAGCAGCACTGTGCCGGTATAGGATTGTGATGTCCCGTAGCGTGCCGGTCCTATTTTTTAAATTGAGGTGTGTATGCTGCCGTATTCTGCTTGTGTTATTTATACGGTAATTGCTTTGTATCGCTGAATATTTGTACGTATATGAGCTATTATAATGTGTATGTTCAGAGGAGTAGTTTGTGGTATCGTGTATGATACATATGAATGTGGGCTGCTTGTGGAATTGTGTGTGTGGATGGATATGTCACGTTGTGTCTTTGGTAGTGTGTGTATGTGTGGGGGCTGTTTGGGGTATTGCATGAGAGAGACTGCATGTGGGGTTGTGTGCATGTATGTGGATTGTTAGCAGGTTACGTTTCTGCGGATTGTGTATGTTTGTGGGCTGTTCGTATTATTTGTATGAGGGCATGGTTATTGTGCATTTCTGTGTATATTTATCAGTGTGTGTGGCTTCCATGGGTTCCAGTGGGGACCAGGCTGGCCAGGTCTCTGAAGTTTTTAGCAGGTATCTGAAGTTTCACTGGGATTCCTGATAGGCCAGAGCCTGTTTGGCTCTAGCAGCCTTGAGTGCCGTGCAAAGACACCTTGAGTGCCATGCATGGCACTAGTGCCGTAGGTTGCCTACCCCTGGTATAGAGTGTTACTCAATATTAAAAAAAACAATTCATGCAACATGACTATGGTACCAGGAGTGTGCCGGTTCCCCCAATGTAAGTATCTAAACCACTACAACCGCTTCTCCACCCAGAAGCTCTCTGTCTAAGCTAAGCCTTGTAGTACATTGTGTAGCTCATTGGCTGAGAGCAATTAGTTGACGTTCTCAGAAAATGAGCTAGTGCATAGCTCAGAAGAACTCCATAGCAGGAGCTAAGGAGGCATGTGCTTCGCAGAAGCTTTCAGCTTTCCTAGTGGCGAGAAGTGGTGAAAAGTTGGACAACTAGAGGAGACTCTATTTATCATGGAGAAACTCTCCCCTCTTTTCCTATGGTAATAGACTAGAGCTAGGAGCTACTAACTAGGTGTAAGCCTCATAATGCTCACAAGCTGTCTCCTTTCTCCTCTGTTGAATAAAGGGAGGGTATTTTTTGAAAGTATTTCAGGGTTGCCTAAGAGCCTTGCCACTTGACTGCACTATAACCCCTTTTTACAGGCATGATGCATAAATTCACCTAAATGTAGAACACAAGTGGTGCTATCAAAACAAATTATCTATGCACCATCATACAGGACTTTGCCTATACCCTATGTCAGTGCCGGCACAAGGATTTTTGCCTACACAGACAAAGATATATTTTGCTGCCCTCTCCCCCCATACATTTTCTTTAGGCAGACAATGTAATAGAGCAGCAGGAAATGCTAGCAGAATGCTTGGTTGTATAGGGAGAGGTATTAGCAGTAGAAAGAGGGAAGTGCTCATGCCATTGTACAGAACACTGGTGAGACCTCACTTGGAGTATTGTACACAGTACTGGAGACCGTATCTTCAGAAGGATATTGATACCTTAGAGAGGGTTCAGAGAAGGGCTACTAAACTGGTTCATGGATTGCGGGATAAAACTTACCAGGAAAGGTTAAAGGATCTTAACATGTATAGCTTGGAGGAAAGACGAGACAGGGGGGATATGATAGAAACATTTAAATATATAAAGGGAATCAACACAGTAAAGGAGGAGACTATATTTAAAAGAAGAAAAACTACCACAACAAGAGGACATAGTCTTAAATTAGAGGGACAAAGGTTTAAAAATAATATCAGGAAGTATTACTTTACTGAGAGGGTAGTGGATGCATGGAATAGCCTTCCAGCTGAAGTGGTAGCGGTTAACACAGTAAAGGAGTTTAAGCATGCGTGGGATAGGCATAAGGCTATCCTAACTATAAGATAAGACTAGGGACTAATGAAAGTATTTAGAAAATTGGGCAGACTAGATGGGCCGAATGGTTCTTATCTGCCGTAACATTCTATTTTTCTATGTTTCTATGTCCTTGCGATTGCTTGACAAAATGTTCTGGAGATGTGACTGAAAACACTAGATTGCTATCCATTTCATCTATAATTACAAAGATATAGACTTCCACAAGCATACAAAAAACTTGACTTAATTTAATTTTAAACAGAATAGCTAAATGTTATTTAAAAAGGGATGTTTGTATTTCTAACGTTAGAGGTACTTAAGTATGTAGAGGGCATCTTATTAATGTCACCACAAGTTACCAAAACACGCAGAGTATAACCCAAATAGAAAACATATTACCGGACCTTAGAATGGCCGGGTTTAACGTAGATAGACTAGTCGAGGCTAGCCAACGATAAGGGAAAACAGATATCAGGATAATGATAAGGAAAAGCCGAGTCAGGGAACCAGAAAACAGGATGAACGAGAAAACGAGCCGAGTCAGGATACCAGAACAAAGAATAGTAAAAAAAACACAAGCCGAGTCAAAATACCAAGATACACAGACAGAATAAAGCTAGCACTAGAGGGAACAACCAGTGAACCACAATCACGTGGAATATTTAGAATTTTCGCAGCATAGCCGCTATGACGTCGGTGCACATGCGCCGCGTCATAAAAGGGGGTGTGCATGCAGCGGGCACCTGGAGGAGTCGGCAACCGGAGCTACACCTCGCAGGTCCGTGGGAGAAAGATAAGGTATCGTGACAATTAAGAGTTCAAACCACTTAACTACCTTATCCCAAACTTCATCGGCCTCACCACAGTCACCACTCCTCTCCTGGCTGAGATCATAGTTACTAGACTTCTCCATTGAGAAACACTGAAAGGCTTAGTGCGCGGCTTAATGCGTAGCATATATGTGCTATTAAATGTATATGAATCTTCTACAAAGGTATCCTGTAGTTCTAAATCAGTGATTGCTATATATGGATGGACCATAATGTTTCATTAAAGCAACAATCCAAGCAAAATAAACACTACAGTTAGCTGTAGTGGTTTTGTTGCCAGGAGTGGCCTGAAGCCCTTGTAAGGTAAATTGTGCTACATTCGGCTTGTCCTGCTGAATGTCTTCTCTTCAGTGAACTAAGCAAGTCTGATACAAAACTGTATTTAAATGCTGACAGTATTCAGATGGTGATGAAACAGCTTTACACATGTGTTTTGATTTTCTTTTATTTAGTATTTTCACAAAATCATTAAAATGTACTACTGAAAAATAAAAGAATGGGCTGACTGGGTGACATGTTTAGGAACCTCTAACCCCTTGTCACTCTGCCCCTCTAATGCCCTGATAGGCACAGAGCTAAGGGGACATGGGGTTAGAGGCTGTATTTAAATAATTTAAAATGTATCCCATTGCTGCTAGTGCGGCCAGATGGGTGAGGAGTGTCTCGGGGGGCAATGGAGAGGTTGTCCAAAATGTAGGGATGCTCACTTGGAGGCTATCTAGCTTTCCAAAGTGATGAAGAGCAGAAGACTATATGTGTGACTGGTGGCTAGCTTGATCCAGGTTTGCAGGGCTGTCCACAGAACCTGGTGAGCATTGGTAATATTACAGGGAGGAGTCTTGCCCTTTGCTCTATCATATTTCATAAAGTGGACAGCTGACTCCACAGCCATGCTGGATCCTATGGAGTTTATGCTGGAGCTAGTGGAGCAGTGGAAGTCAGGCCCTAATGTATCTTCTTTTAGAGTGGCTGCAGACTCTGACTCCATGCTGTACCACTGAGGAGTCTGGGGGAAGAGCAGTGGAAGTCACGGCCCCCTCTGACATCATTAGAAGAGGTTGGCCAACTCCACCGCCATTCTGGTACGCTGGTTTCTTCAGTGAAGGAGTGAGAGTGAAGTAGGCTACCAGTAATTTAAATATTCAAATCCTTGGCCAGGGGCTGTGGATTAGGATATCTGTGCTCCTCTGTTCTGGTGCCCTGAGGCGGCCGCCTATGTCGCCTTATTGACCGCCGGCCCTGCCTTGTGTTGATCAGTGATAAATCTATTTAGCAGTTTTTGTAATACATAATCAGAGAGATCAAATTACCATTTTGATTAAATCACAGCTTCTGATTAAAATCTGAAATTATATACTCTCTGCAGCCTAGTGTGCTTATTTGTTTGTTTGGTTTTTTTTTTTTTGCAGTAAATGAGGCTTTGAGACTTGTGATACAATTCCAAGATAGCACTTCTATACTAAAAAATGCCTGATCCGCAGTTGAAAATTATTGCCAAACCTTTTACAGCTTGGTTAGAGGGAAAACATAGTATTAATCTATTGGGAATGTTGTTTTAATTTGATTAAAGGAAAGAACATTTTCATGCTAATGTCATTTTATTATGTGACTGGCTTTTTAGACAAATGTTGGTATACTACTTTGAGATTTTTTTAATCACAAGCATTTTGTGGTTTTATATATAGATATAATTATGCTTAGCCACTAATTTTCTGTGGCCTCGCAAAGATCTACAATAAAATACCATTAAATGTTGAACACGAAGAAACATTAAACACATTAATGATTGAAAGCTTAGATTGATGATTCCAGTGACAATGATAGGATCCCGCAGACAGTTTGATGGATATGCCACCATCACTGAGTGCATATAACACTAATACTAACGCTTTGTTGCTCTTTATATCTTGCAGTGTGCGAGTCTGAAGACCAGAATATAGTGCTAATGGTAACTCTGAATATTCATCATCTGTATGTTCCATAGAAATGTATTTTCTTGTTTGAGGGTTGGTTCTATTGTGCATTACAAATTCAGCTGATAATTAATGAGCACATAGAGACTTCTCAATTCTGCCTGACGATGATTTTAACCATACTGCAGTCCTATGGCTACTTTGCACTGTACAATTCTGGAAATAAAACATATAGTAGAAGCAGGGCCAGATTAAGAGCCCAGTGGGCCTGGTGCTGACAATTATGATAAGGCCGAATTACAGAATCTTATCGACCAACAACACTAAAACAGTCATACCTCTCAAGCGTCATGTATCTGATGGAGTTGGTGCTGGAGGGAAACTCAAAGGATGCAGTTATGAGAAAACACATAGTCTATGCTAATCTCTTTATCTAATTTATGCTTTCATCTTTCAAGTAAATCCATACCCCCTAACAGCAGTGTCCAGTGAAGCAGGAAGTCAATGGGTAAAAGGGTGGTGTAAGGAAACCTAATATATCCAATCCTCATTCGGTAGTTTCCTCCCGAACCGCCAGAGCATCAGTGATTATAGATCTCCGTTCGGTAGATGAAATAAACGAAATCCATACGAACACAATAGCTTTACAAGATGATTCCCTTAATAAAGCATACAAATCCCCAAACATCAGCCGAAGTCAAGAAGAAGGGTACAACAGAACTGGCTTTAAATGACCACACATTGGCTTTTATGCAAGTCCCCATGCAAGGGGACATCCCACAGGGTGGGACACAGTACAACCAATCATTTACAGGAAAACCGTAAAACACACCCAACACAAACATACAATTCCCTCCCCTAGTCCTGGAGATAATCAAGTCTGATAAAGTAATAACTTGATTATCTCCAGGCAGGAAAATTTAAATTACCCCCAATATTCAGAACACCCATTTAGGCATGGGGTAGCCCCACAAACAATATTTCCCCTGATAGCCCCAATCTGGGTGACCAACATATTAAAATTTCACCCAGATCGGTTCAGGGGTTCTCAAAAAGTATTGAAGTCTTTTGTGACCGGCTAACCGCGAGGTGGCTGCCCAAAATAGTTCCAGGAGTTTGGGTATTTGCCAGTCTATTCAGTTAAGTGGCAAAAACTGAATAATTCCACGAATGGATTCCCCTGGCTCTTAGCAGCGATTGTTCCCTTCATTCGAATGCACAAAAGTACCGAACAGCGCTCTTCTAGCTGTTCGGGAAATAAAGATCCAGCGTTCGCTTGTTGAGACCGGTGTTCGGGAAGTCGAGTGTCTGATTTTAGTTCCAGACACTCTACGACCAAGTCCCACTGCCTTTGTTCGCATGAAAAAAGATGGCCGCTGTTTTCTCAGCCACGTGGCGTTCGGTAGTACGAACGCCGGCCGCACAGATAGAGGGTTCAATTGAGGCATTCTTTGAAGTTTTAACGAGCCGGGGGGGTGGTCTCTGTTCGTTAGTTATATCTACAGAATGAATAGGGAAGAAATATTGCACAGGGATTTCTTCACAGGTGGGTCACTGACGGGAATCACGTGACCAGAACTGCCAAAATGGGCGAACATGCCCAAAAAGGGAGCATATCTGTCCAAAGAATTGGAAGGCCAGCCTGGCATCAGTGTCCTTATGTATCACAGTGTCTGTGTCCCCATGTCACCCAGTCCCCTAGTCTCACAGTGCCTGTGTCCCCATTTCTCCCAGTGTCCCCATGTCTCAGTGTGTCACTAGGATATTAGGGGACACTGAGAGACATGGGGAAACTGAGAGACCTGGTGACCCTGAGACACTTGGGGACACTGGGAGACATGGGGGCACTGAGACACCTGGGGACACTGGGAGACATGGGGGCACTTGTGGATACAGACATGGGGACACTGGGAGACATGGACAGACATTTGGGGAAACTAAGACACTAGGGACAAAGAGACATGGGAATACAGACACTGGGAGACTAGGGGACACTTTGAGACATGGGGACACTGAGACACTAGGGACACTGACTGGGAGGCATAGGGACACAGACACTTGGGGACACTGGGAGACACGGGGGCACTTGTGGACATAGACATGGGGACACTGGGAGACATGGGGACACAGACACTGGGAGACATGGGGACATTGAGACATAGGGACACTGGGAGACATGGGGACACTGAGACACTGGCTGGGAGACATGTGGACACTTGGAGACATGGGGACACAAACATTTGGTGACACAGGGAGACATGGGGAAACTGAGAGACGTAGGGACACAGACACTGGGAGACTAGGGGACACTGGGAGCCATGGGGACACTGAGACACTAGGGACACTGGCTGAGAGACATGGGGACACTGGGAGGCA